AAAGGAAAAGAAAAAAAATATGCTTACTTAAAGTCTGGCTGGTTAGCTCAGTTGGTTATAGCGCAGCCTTATAACACCAAGGTAACAGGTTTGGATCCCTGTACCAGCCAGCTGCCAAAAAAAAGTTTACTTGAGTGTCCTGGTTTTCAATATTACATATATATTTCAGCCTTTCGTGTTTTAGCATATAATTATCTACTCCCTGAAAAAATTTATTTGAAATAGTTTGTTAAAATCCTCCCCAAAGTGGCAGTCTGACATTAACAAGGAGTAGGTTGGAACACAGATACTCTCTTATGTATAACATCTTAACAGGACCTCAAATCCTTAATTTTGTTCCTGAATTTGACAATAACATTAACTTTTTTCAGTATTTTAAGACTGTTCCAAAATGTCACATCTATGACAGAATATAAAACTATCATAGAATACAATCTTTTGTGATATATTTATTTCATTATTTATTTTATACCGATTTATGCAGAAATATATTCTTTAAAAGTTGTATTTAAATTAAACCTTTAGCTTCACCAAGTTCAAGAGTTTGGAACCCCAAAATGGCGAGCCACCAAAAAAAAAAAAAAAAAAAGGAGACCTTTAAATGTCAAAGTGAAAAGACAAAAGTTAAATGAATTCAACTGAGAACTGACCATTTAAAGGATATTTGTGACAAGCCCTGAAGACAAAAATATCCACTCAACTTATTTTTTTAAGATCAAATTTTCTTATGTGGGCTTAACTTTTTAAAAATATTTTAAAATTCTGAATGTAATATAAGCTCATTTTAACAAAAATCAAATATAGAGACACAAAAAATAGCCACTTCCTCCCTCCTCACCCACCCAGGCTGTACAAACAATTTAAGCTCCTATCAGGTAACACAGAAATGCCATTAGCTAACACTCCTGAGTCAGTATTTTCTGAGAGGGGGGAGAAAATTCTTTTATAAGAATGAAGAACACAATTAAAATATACTATCTGTGTCTAAAAAATTCTGTTTGTTGTTTACCATAGGATTAGTATTACACTTGGAGGTAAACAAAATAATTTGTATTGCTTGATAAACTACAGGCTTATAAATTTTAAAGTTTCTTTATCTCAATTAACTTAAAGTAATGGACCAATAAGCCTATAAAAGATGCTTTATTATTTTTTTATTTTTTAAAAAGATGACCGGTAAGGGGATCTCAACCCTTGGCTTGGTGTTGTCAACACCACGCTCAGCTAGTGAGCCAACAGGCCATCCCTATATAGGATCCGAACCCGTGGCCTTGGTGTTATCAGCACTGCACTCTCCCGAGTGAGCCACGGGCCGGCCCTAAAAGATGCTTTAAAAATATATATACAAGTATATATATACTGCTTCTTTCCAGGAAGCAATGTATAAAGCAATGCATAAATTTACACCCAGAAATGCACAAGAAAAATTATAAAAATAAAAGGTTAAGGCTCAGAGAGGTGGAGTGAAGGCCTAGGGGCATTTTGGAGGGAAGGAGGGGGGATGGTAGAGGATGGGGGAGAGTGGGGGAGGTTGGGGAGGGGATGGAAAGGGAATGGAGGGGGATGGAGTGATTCTGCTTAGTGGTTAGCGGATGGGCTGTGTGTTTGCTCCCTGAAGCCTATGCCCCAGTCTGATCAAACTTAAGGGTAACAATTTTTATTAAAGCAGAAGTAGCAGAATGCGGTAGAAGATCAGGAAGAGACAGACTATATATCTTTAGAACGCTGGTATCAGAGTAAGTACTAAATTAGTATTCACTATAAATTATTGTCTTTAGGTGGAACATATGTAATTGCCATTTGTTGTAGATGCTGGTAACAAAGTACTAAGTTAGTATTCACTATAAATTATTGTCTTTAGGTGGAACATATGTAATTGCCATTTGTTGTAGACCAAAATTTGAGGAAGAGCAATTTTATATGGTTCAACCTATACCTTTAAGAGAAAGTTACAGGAAAAAGAAATGGGTTAAAAATTTCTTAAAAAAAAAAAAGTTTTATGGTTTCCAACTTCTACATGCATCACCTTGAACCTCAAAATTACCTTGTAAAGTCATATATGGAAAATGTTCTTATTCCGATTTTACAGAATGAGACTTCTAGGAAGTAACCTGCCCATGTCACCCAGTCCTTTGAAGCTTTCCAACTCTGCACCCTGGGCACTATCCAGTTTACCTGCTCACAAGGAACGAGGGAGCAGGGTCAGGTCCTTTTGATCTGGGTGAGGTGGTCGAACCACGGAATGTGGCAGTGGAAACATCAATGATCATGAACCAACACAGCAGCTAATTGACCCAAAACAGAAATTCCTGACATGGCTGGGGCGCAAGGCCTGTCAACATCCCCTGGGGAAAATTCCCTCACCACGGTGGGAAATGTCTCACAACTGTCAGAAAGCATTTGTCCAATGTATTTCTCAGCGTGAAAATAAATAACTTTAAAGCCCTCCTCCTTGTCTTTCCAAAAAAATGTGGATCAATGTGAAAAAAACTCTGGCCGCATCAGCATCCCTTATTTTTCAGAGCAGGGGCGTCTAAGCAAAGAGGTGGATACACAGCATATCTATTTCTGAAAGGACTTAGGTCATGGGCAATGAAGGAACTCTTTTAATGAATTTCTGGTGCACAAGAAAGCCACGTAGTCTCGAAATCTCAGTTCCTCCGCAGTCTCCCGCTGTCTTTTCTGTTACCCCAACTCCCCACTTCTCTTTAGGAGGCCCTGACTGCCCGCTTGGCTTCTGGGGCCACAATGTCACACCCTCCCCAGCCCAACGAGGCCTTCCAGAAATGGGCTGTAATACCACAGGCCACCAGCAGATGGCGCAGCCCCAACACTTGACAGACCCAACTTTCCAAATCACTAAGGAGCCAACCCGCAGCCATTTAGTGCCTGCTGTATACCTGCCGAGCCAGGCGACTCAAGTCCACCCCGCACCAGCCGGCTCCTCCGGGAAATACGTTACCATGAGGACTAAATTCGTTAAATCGTATAAAGAGCGTTGAACAATGGCTGGATCGTGAGGTGAAATTATTACCAGGGTGAAGAGCAAGAGATCGGCTTGGAATTGGGACCTCGAGCCTCGGCCTCCGCTCCCGCGTCGTCCCGCACTGCAGCTGCCTCAGCGGGGAGGTCCAGCCCCGGGCTTGCCTTCCATCCAGGGGGGATCATTGCCCTTTCTCCTGCCACCTGCCGCCAAGCTGCTGCTATGCACCCCCATCTGGAATTTGGAATTAGGCCCCCATTCGGCAAAGCGGTGGCGGTGTTTGGGGATGAGGGGTGGACAGTGGTGTCACAGCTGGGGTGGGTCCATGTCGCTGCGGCCACATCACAGGCTTCCTGCGGGAACTTCTGGAAGGCAGGCGGCACGGGTGGGGCGCAAGAGGTCGCGCTCCTACGGTCTAAACTCAATATAAAGTTTCCACCTCTGCCCCCCGGTCTGCGCCCCGCCTGCCCCGGAGCAGACCCCGGCATCCCGCGCCGGACACAGCCGTGAGAGGCGTGGGCTTTGCGCTCCCGCTACGGGCGGGACCTCTCGGCGGCACCTGGGGGGCTGCACCTGCCCGTGGCCAGCACAGTCGCGGGCGAGAGCTCCCCCGGAGCGCGGGCGTGCGGCGGTGCGAGGCCACCCGGCGTCCCAGCTCCCGGCGCGCAGGAGCGTCCGCGCGCTCTGGCCCGCACGTGGCTCCGGG